TACTGGGATCAAAGGTGTGCACCACCACCTAGGTTATTTTGCTTTTAATTATATGTGTGTGTGTGTATCAATGTATACATATGTGCAAGTGTCTGGAGTCCAGAAGAGGGAGTCAGATTCCCTGGAGCTAGAGTTCCAGGTAATTTGTAAGCCACCAGATATGGATGCTAAGAACCAGACTTGGGTTCTCTGCAAGAATAGTACATGCTCTTCTGAATTATCCCTAGTCCTTTTGGGCACAGTCTTGACACAAGATTTGGGGGGTACTTTCCTAACACACACGCATACATGCCCGTTCTGACTTGTCACATGTGCTTTTGGTGATTATTTTTAGACTGTGCCATAGCAGCCTACTTTAAAAATTCCTAGGCTTTCGCTTCTAGAAGGAGCAAGGAATGAGGAGAGGTGACAAGAGTGGGAGGTTAGGATGTAGTATTTAGCTGGCTCTTAGCTATGGGAGAAAAAGAAAGTGAAGCATAGTCAGGCACTCCTGAAATGTTGACACCTAGGAAGTGGAGGTAGGAGAGGTGTTTAAGACTGCCTGGGCTATATGAGGCTTGTGCTTTCTTTCTTTTGGTTTTGGTGTTTTTGTTTTAGATGATTCTTATAATGTTGCCCTGGCTGGCCTAGAATTCACTGTGTAGACCAGGCTGGTCTCAAACTCTTGAGATCCACCAGCCTGTATTTCTGAAGTGTAAAGGTGAGCAAAGCTTGTCTAGTGTGCAGATTCAGGTTGTGCTTAATGAGGTGGATATTGTTTGCCCTTTTTTCCCCCTTTAAAATGTAAATGATGTCTTTTAAAAATCTTTGAAAGTTTAAAAATTTTGTTATTTAAAAAAATGTGAGCCAGGCACTGGTGGCGCAAGCCTTTAATCCCAGCACTCGGGAGGCAGAGGCAGGGGGATCTCTGTGAGTTCGAGACCAGCCTGGTCTACAAGAGCTAGTTCCAGGACAGTCTCCAAAGCCACAGAGAAACCCTGTCTCGAAAAACCAAAAAAAAAAAAAAAAAAAAAAAATGTGACCAGGCAGTGGTGGCACACACCTTTAATCCCCACACTCCGGAGGCAGAGGCAAGCAGATCTCTGTGATATGTGAATTCAAGACCAGCTTGGTCTACAAGAGCTAGTTCCAGGACAGTCTCCAAAGCCACAGAGAAACCCTGTCTCTAAACCGCCCCCCAAGCCCCACACACACAGAAAAAAAAAAAGTTACATGTAAATCAAGTATGGTAGTGCAGGGGCAAATAGATCTCTGTGAGTTCAAAGCTAGCCTGGTTTACATAGCTGAGACAGCCAGGACTACATGGAGAGACCCTGTCTCAAAAGAGTTGGTTCATTGGTTAGGAGCACTGGCTACTTGTCCAGAAGACCAGGTTGTCACAACCTGCTCACAACCATCTGTAATTCCAGTCACAGAGAATCCAACACTCTTTTGGCCTTCAACCAGGTCCGAAGACTATACAAGGCAATGAACGTCTATATAGTTAGAATAGACATTCAGAACAGAAGCTGTGGGGCTTCACACTAGATTGTATTTTCACTATTGGATTATATTTGTATGTACTTATCCACCACTGAAAATTAAAAACCAGTGACATTTGAAGAATTAGAAAAGCAATTAGCTGGGTGGTGGTGGCAAGTCCTTTAATTCCAGCACTAAGGAGGCAGAGGCAGAGGCAGAAGAATCTTTGTAAGTTCAAGGCCAGCCTGGTCTATAGAGCGGGTTCCAGGACAGCCAGGGCTACACGGAGAAACCTTGTCTTGGAAAGAAAGAAGAACAATTAGCTTAATATGCTCTGGGGCTTTTTGTTTGTTTTTGTTTGTTTGTTTGTTTTTTAATAGTTTTTGATTTATAGAACATTGTGAGACTATTAGAGTTTACATGTATCCTGTAATTCATTTCCTTTATTGTTGATATCTTAAATTTAGTGAGATATATTTGTTACAGTTAGGAGGCCAATACTGATTGTAAGTGTAGGACCTGCCTAAGCTACAGAGAGCATGTTTGTGAGACCTTGTCTCAAACTAGAAATTAAGAATACTGTGCTTAGGGGCTGGAGAGATGGCTCCAGAGATGACTGCTCTTCCAGAGGTCCTGAGTTCAATTCCTAGCAACCACATGGTGGCTCACAACCATCCATTATGAGATCTGTTGCCCTCTTCTGGTGTGCAGATATACATGGAAGCAGAATGTTGTATATATAATAAATAAATAAAATCTTTAAACAAAAAAAAAAATACTGTGCTTAGGATATAGTTCAATGGTAGAGTGTTTACCTGGGAATCCATGCTCTGAGTTAAATCTCCAGTACTGAGAGATATACCAGTACTGTCTATGTACCAAATATATTCGACATGATGGCATATGCCTGTAGTTTCAGCTTCTTGGAAATCTGAGCAAATCACTATCTGCCTATCTGCCTCTGCCTCCCAAGTGCTGGGATTAAAGGCATGCACCACCACTGTCCAACAACAAATACATTTTTTTATGCCAATGCTTGGAAGGCAGAGGCAGGTGGATCTCCAAGTTTGAGACAAGCTTAGTTGCAGACTGAGATCCAGGACAGCCAGGATTATACAGAGAGGCCTTGTCTTGGGTGTGGGGGAGACCAAAAAATAAAGAGAACTATAGGCAGGGGGGAGGCAGAAACAGGCAGATCTCTGAGAGTGAGGCCAGTCTGGACAGGTCTACATAGAGAGGACCCTCTCTCAAAAAAAAAGGAGAATTGTAAAGCAAACTACCTGACAGTATGATGAAGTAGCATGTCCTTAAAAGTGTCTGTCTCCAGCAATGTCCCTGGATATTGTGGTCATTGGTACTCCTGGAGAAAAACTGGACCCAACCTCTTGGAGGGTAGTTGAAGGGTTAAATACGGGTTAGATGATCAAGAGGCTAACCAACTTCAGGGGTTAAGTAATTAGTTCGTAGACATGGTAGTAGTGAATGGGGGGTCTAGTGTCTGTGTGATTTCCTGCTGTGCACCCTAGTGTTCCTCCCCCTGGAAGACCTGGCTTGTTGCCACATGCTCACATATTAACACTGAGAGTAGGAGGTGTGACTCTGGAATGGGGCTCAGGCAGGAAGTGGGTTGCTTGGGATGATTTTTGAGCAGGGATTTCTGGCTTACCTTTTTTTGTATATGGGCCTCCAAGATAGGCACCATAAGACACCCATACTAATTTCTATTTTTGCATGCCATTACAGCACAAAGCAGAGGGCACACTGTTAGAAAAGCACAGAATATGTCCCCTGAGGGCCCACCAGGAAGAAAATTAAAAATTAATCATATCCATCTTACTACTAGCTAGACAGGAATGGTATATTCAGTGGCTGGAAGACCAGCAAGTTTAGCAGACTAACTGGTGCAGATGAAGGGGTTAAGGAAGAGTTTAGATCAGCATTGGTGTCTCAGGAGATAGCTCGCAAGGCTTTTTCAGGTCTTAATGGTCTAGGAAGCTTTCAGGGTTCCACTGAGTCTGTTTACAATACTTGAATTCCTGAGATGGCACTGTCCATTGAAGTAGGTGAAATGAGACATGGCAGTGTAAATAGGCCACTTTTGATAAGAAGTAGGTTTAAGAATGCAAATGTTCAGTGAGGAAACCTCAGAAATCTACGGGGCCTCCTGTAGTAGATCAGTACTTGTCCCTAGCATAGGTGTGGACTTTGGGAGCCCATTCCACATAGAGGGATACTCCCTGAGCCAAGACACACAAGGGTAGGCCTAGGCCCTATCCCAAAGGATACAATAGACTCTGATGACACCCTATGGAAGGCCTCACCTTCCAGGGGGAGCAGAAAGGATATGTGATAGGTAGGGTTTTAGTTGGTGGGGGGGTGGTAGGGGAGGAAGGGAGGGAGAGGGAACTGGGATTGACATGTAAAACAATCTTGTTTCTAGTTAAATAAAAAACATCTGCAAAAAGAAGGAATGCAAATGTTAGTTGGCTAAGGTTAGTATGTTCTGTGATAGTGCTAGGAGTATTGTTAGTATGATTTGATTTGTTTGTTATATGGATGGGCCAGTGTTTTACCCCACTGAACTATACCTGGCCCACGTGATCTCTCTTTTTTTCCTTTATTAAATCATACTAATATTCTTTCAAGGACAAATATACAGCTAAGGATGCTAGAGTGAAGAAATCTTTATGAGCGCAAAG